GGTTTTGACTGCTGTCAAAAATAAACATTCTATTTCCCTACTTGTTTTCTACAAAGAGAATTGGTATCATCTACGGAAAAGCAGCTGCAGGACTTCTTCCTCATGCAGCATGAAACAGGAAGAGACCACTTTACACTGAGGCTGGACTTGATTCTCTTCACCTATACAGCATCTTAATTCCATTTTTTCTATATCTGTTAAAGTAAAATAATTGACAACTGACCACAAATATTACTCATATCATTACTTGTAAGGTACCTTAGCATGTATGAAGTACTTTCAGACATTAGTGAGGTTGATCTTCCTAACATGGGATATGCATTATCACATCCTTACTTTGCTTATGAGAACATTGGGCTGAGAAAAGTGACTTCCCTGAGGTTAGACTGTATGTGATGAGCTAGTCCTGATTCAAACCTTCTGACTTCAAATCTCATGCTAATTCTAGGACAGCTTGCTGCTCCTGGTAAATTGCTTAAAATCTTGTGGGTAGATGAGAGTCCTGAAACTTAACCATAGGGCATAACAGGAAACTTGCGATGACAATGTCCTGGTTTACCTGGAGAAAAATCAGGTAGGTGTAACTTGCTAGCACAGGTATCATGGCTCTTGAAGATCCTTTTATACAAGCAAAAAAGCCCAGAAATTAAGACCACAGGCTCCAACTGTCCTATTGCAGCTCTACTACTGTGAGGCCACACCAGTTTCTCCCATTTCTTTGGTTTTCTGTCACAAAACGAATATAATTCCCCACCCCACAGGGCTGGGAGAGGGCAGAGCTGATCATCTCCGTGGGACAGTTGGTGCCACTCCTGGCATGCTACATGATCAGGGAACAGGAGCAAGCAGTGCCAGGTCTCCCGGTGCATGGTGGTGGCAAAGGGTGCGGGTGTGAAGGCAGGTGCATGTGTGGCCATGTGCACATCAAGGCCCTCACCTGAGTCTCAGCACCCTCGCCAGGAGGAACAGCACCTTCATGGTGAGGTTGTTACAAAGATTTGACATAAAGCATACAAGGCACGGTGTCTGGCAGATAGGAGAAAATAAATGGGGGCTGTGGTTCATATATGCCAGCAAATACCTTTATTTAAGGTTGGCTTGCTTAGATAAGCACTTTCTTGTTTAATAGAAAACTTCTACTTTAATGGAGCACTGAATGGTACAAATCAAGATTTAACCTATCAGTTTGTGGTGACTTCTTTTTTTTTTTTTGTCTTTTTGTCTTTTTTCGTGATCGGCAACGGATCGCAACCCTCAGTGTCGTGCCCGTACAGGACTGGGACCGGCAACGGGATCGCAACCCTCGGTGTTGCTCCCACACCTCGCTCAGCCAGTGAGCGGCCGGTCTGTATGTGGGATCCGAACCCTCGGCGGGAGCGCTGCCACACTTCCCAAGCGGTGCACTGTAGCAGTGCGCCACCGGGCCGGCCCTGTGGTGACTTCTTTTTAAATTGGGATTTTTAAGTTGGGAAAATACCAATTGCATGTTTATGAAGGAAATCAGGTAACACAAAGTATGTGCAGCAGGAAAGAGAAGTGACCCAGTGCTTTTCTTCATCCCAACCATGCCCTTGCGCCATCCTTGCTGGGGAATGGGGTTACAGCACACCAGCGTGTCTGGTTTGTGAGGGAAAAACTGAATAGTTAAAATGAATATTTTGAAGCTCAGTCCCTCATAAGAAAACCTCAAGAGGTGATGTTGATTTAGCAACAGGACGCCTGTCTGTTCTTTAGTCTCCTTCCATTCACCATTATCTTCCAGAACTTCCATGAAGTGCAGAATGAGAGGCGATGAGAGGACATGGGGGCCTCAAGAAAAGCAGGCACTGACCAGCAATTTTTCTAGATTAAAATAATCCAAAAGTCTACCTCCCCAACTGCCAAAAACCACCTGGACACCGAGACTGGAGAGGAATGGATCATAAGCTAAAACAGAAAAGCAGGCAGGCAGGCAATGCCCATAAAACCCTGTTCCGTATATGCAGTGATTCCAGAGTCAAAAGTTCTTTCAGACAGAACAAACGAGAAAAGTAGACCTTCTGCAAGAGCACATCGCATTTTGTGCTTTGTTTTTTGTTTTGGTGCCTGGCCGGTAGCAGTGTTTTTAAAAGTGCAATAGACGAAAAGTTTTTAATCATTTTGCCTAAAATCTGTTTAATATTTTAATACGTTTACCTGGAACACTATGTGAGTGTGAGCTACAAAAGGATGTTTCAACTAAATACCTACCTTCTAACAAAGTACATAGTAGTATGGAATGGCTTTTACTTTGATAAATGCTTCATTACTTCAACACTGGCAATCGCTGATACGAGGGTACTTCGAAAAGTCCATGGAAAAATAGAATTGAAAGATGATACAAATTTTCCACAAACTTTTTAAAGTACCCTCGTCTCAGTTATCAAAACAACTTCCACGGCTCTGCCCCCACTGGAAAGAATCAAGGCCCATGTCCAAGCCACCGGAAGGTTAAGTCCCTGCAGGCTGGTCACTGTGATGCTGCAGCATCCCCCCTCAGCACCTAGGGGACTCCACGCCCCCCAGCCCCACCCCCTGGAACACCAGCGCTGCTCAGTAAACCCTTAATTTAACCTATCAGGTTTCCTAAAGTATAACATCATGATGGAAACATTTTAGACCCTTTATCTGAATTGTAATGACTTGGTTATTATGCAACAAATATGTACTCAATGTCTAAATACAAGCAACTGCTGTACATTTGAAAACTTTTTACTAGCTTATTTTTCAGAAAGAATTCAGTCCCGTTTTCAGTACTTACCCAGGGTTACCAGGATCTTTCTATTGTACCTAAGCATGACATAAATCCTAAATCTTGATTGCTCTAAGTACTTCTCTGTGAAATTTTTTATTGTCCACTGGAATTAACAAGTGATTTAAGCCTGCCAAATCCAACAAAATTTGACTCTGTAATGTGGCACACTCTTTAAGAGGAAAAAAATGACTAGCCATTGTCCTTATTAGAAATTTCACTAAAGCTAAAAAGAAAAAACCAAAAAACCAAAAAACCCCCAACATTTTATAACTACATGCTACTCCCTTATTCACTTAACCTCCATTATTTCTTAGAACCACCCTGTATGAAACAGGTATTTTAAAAGTGAAGGACTACGGACCAAGAGCTAAGCAATTTAGTCAAGACCAACCCCCTATAGGACAAAGATGGGCTTCAAACACAGCAATGTCTCTCTCCACTACATGGTTGTCTATACCAAACCAAACAACCGTGAAGAGAGCCAGTGTTCGCAGCTGTGTTCCACTGCACCTTCACTCTCACAATTTTCACACAGCTCCCATTAAAATAGAAGTGAAAAACTAACAGTTTTATATAAGCAAAGATTCTTTAAATTGTTGTTATTGCCATTGGATTTTTATCAAGTATTTTAATTCTCTAACTTACTTTCATATAGTAAATTTTTTGTTTATTATTTGTCTAGGTAAATCAAATTTAAATACTCAAGATTCTTAAATGCGCTGAAGTTTTGCTGGAAAGTAAACATCTATTTGCAGGTGTTGAAATGCAAGAAGTTCATCTTAATGTATGACCAACTACAAATTTGCACTTCTCTACCAAGTAACCCTCTATAATGGAAATTCACTGTAAAACAGGGAATATAACTGGCACAAATAAAGTTCTCAATAACTGTTCACTAGAAGTAAACAATCAGAAAACAATTTACTGTTTGACTTGTAATAGATACTCATACGTGCCATATAGATACTTAGATTGTAGTGCCATTACTCAAATCTTCTTTGTGGGAGCTTCATATCGCTGTAAAACAGACTATGGAGAGAAACTATCATGTTTGGATTAAAGAAAACCATCTATCACTTAGAATTGAAAATTTCACCGACCCTTTCAATACGTGGGCAGTTAAGGACACAGATCATCAATGCTACATGCTGGTCTGAATTAGAGATCAGCAAACTATTTCTGCACAGGACCAGGAAGAAAATAATTTTGGCTTCTTGGGCCAGATGGTCTCGGTCACAACTACTCAACTCTGCACTTTTACAAAAGCAGCCAAAGTCAATACATAAGCAAATAAGCATGGCTGTATTCCAATAAAACTTTATTTATGTACACTAAAATTTGGACTTCATATAGTTTTCATGTGTCATAAAATGATTCTTTTTCTAATTGTTTAAATACATAAAGACCATTCTTAGCTCACAGGCCATACAAAAATAGGTGGCGGGCTGGAACTGACAGGTGGGCAGTAATTTCCTGACCCTGGTCTAAACGTATATTTTTTTGACATTTATTTGCTGGCAATTAGGCAACTTCCACTTCATTACTAATATTGAGAACAATAATACAAAATTTGCTTAAGGCTTTGTCTAAACTGCTGGTGTATAAGTTTTTAAGACAAAAATTTAAAAATTAGTTATGTCAAAATCAAACTATACTGCTAGATTAACAAACTGGCCAAGTTTCATTTATTTCTTGACATCACATCTGCACAACTCTCATACATGCAGCAGGAAGTGCACCTTGGTTTCACAACAGCAGCTGGCTGCACTTGCAGTTATGATACAGTAAGTGCAAGTTCACTTGGAAATGTACATCTATACACCTTATATAAATTAATGATGGCTACGCTATGATTTGTGATTGAGAAGTGTGATTTGAACTTCCATGATTAGACCAATTCTGTTCAATTTCATTAAAATGTACCCAATAATTTTAAAATGGCCATTTGGGGAATGGGCCAGTATATAAAATAATTATCATGTAAAATTTAATCATTTACCTTTTTAAAAAATATTCTTTGAAGTATCAACTTTTGTTATTGAGTTGTAAAATGGAAATACATTATGGTAGCAAGAAACGAATTTGCTATAGGCTGTATTTTTACCAACCTGGCTAATTAGTGACATTATTTTTACTAAAATAAAATAGATAAATCTTTTCTTTCCACATTTAATATGTTAGGTTGCTTCCCAGTCATCTCCCCTCCCCCCAGAAAAGGAAATCAGTCTGAGATTCACTTCAGTGTTTAATTCACGCCTATATTTGCAGTTTCTAAAATGTTGATCCACAGACCACTTTCTTGTCACACATGTGTACCAATGAAAACAAAAGGCAAAGAGAATCACTGCCATCCCTGTAAAAGGAATGGCTCCTTTTCTAACATTCTTTAAAAATATACACTGTACAATCCGTACACCTCAACAAAGGTGGCACTGTTAATAAATACACTGGGTTACTTCTCCTCCTCACTGTTAACGCACGTCCACAAACTACCTGTTGTACGCCCTCTCCTTTTTTGACTTCTCCAGCGCTTTGTCCATTGTTTTCTCATTTTCCCCACGACATTTGGGACAGTACCACTTGCCCTTGGGTTTATGGTTGAGTCCCACACACGAGAAGTGGAACCACTCGATGGGACACTCGTCGTTGTCACAGCCTATCATTTCTCCATAGGAGACCTGATTGCACAGACAGTACGTTGGCTCATTGGGGTCGATGGGGAGGTCTGCGGGGGACGCTTCCCTCTCTGCTTTGGCCTTGGAGCGTTTCTTCTTCTTGGAGGTTTTCGCTTTCTTCTCCTTGGGCATTCCTGAGGTGATGTCGTCGTGGTCGTGATTATTAGAAGCATTCTCTCGATTCTCATTGTTGCGCTGTCGCCGAGACCTCTTGTTATTGGGCTTTTCTGCCTGTGAGATTGTCTCATTCTTTGACTTATCTTGGCCAGCCTTGCCGCTGTTGCCGGTGGTGTCGTTGATCTCCTGATGTGCCTCAAAGAGCTCCACGTGACTGTCCACTTGTCTGGTCCGGTTCTCAACCAGCTCCACCATCTGGCTCACAATCTGGATCTTCTCATCGCCCAGCTCCTGGCTGCGGATCAGGGCCCTCTGAATGCAGTGCAACACTCGCCTCTTCTGCGCGCCGTCCGTCTCGCGCTTAAACCTCTCATAATATTCATCCAGTTCCTTCAGGATGTCTATAGATGAAAACAACATGAGTTACACATCCATGCTGTACCATGAGTGAAGAAATCCACACTGATTAAATAAGACTAACTCTCTACTCTATAAAAAAGCAATTGCAAAGGACATAAACAACCAAGGCAGGGCTTCCCAATATAAAAATCATGCAACTCATAGGCCTTTATAGAAGACGTTTATTTTCCCGTTGAAAAAAAAATTCTGGTACTAAATACAAATGCCAGCACAGTTCCCATTTAGCAAAGTGCCACTTGAAGTATTCAAAGGGACTCTGTGTGCAGTTCTGAAGTACAGGTGACAAATACTCCTGAGACAGGTAATTAAGGGGAAAAGTTCAGATTTAGATAAAGTGCTTGGGCCCAAACTTTTATTTTCTATTAAATTAATGATTATGTCCTATCTTTCCATCATTTTTATTCAAATACTTTTCTAATAATATAAAGGCCTTTATTCTCTTTATTTTAATGTACCAAGATCTAGAATGCCTCCCTAAATTAGAGAATCTATATAAATTTATATAATGGCTCTCTATAGTTTAAAGACTGGGGATAAAAGGCCAAGGTCCAGAATACTCAGTCACTGAGGCCCTCAGTTCATCGGTCAGTTCGTGTTCATTCTAGCATGTTATTCCTCTGTTACTGAAAACAAGAATGGTTTGGTCACAATAATCCAAAAATCCTACCCTTGCTTTAAAACAAAAGTGGTGGATTTTACTTTTGCATCTACTGCGTAAAATAACCTCTTTACATCTATAAAAGTCAGATTTTAAATCATCATCGAAACGAATGAAAAACCCTCAGTATTAAAGTTAGAACTTCCTGGGTAGGTTATATGCATGTGATTTTAAAATGTAACTTGGCAAATGTAATTAGACAATTTCTGAAGAAATAATAGCTGTTAAATAATCTAATTCAAATTGGAAGGTAAATATTCTTGCCCAAAACCTATTTAAATATATGGAACTTCCCAGAGTTATTTTTCTCAAACAGATTCTTATTCTGAAACCCTTTGTTGGTCTCTTAAAACAAGTATACTCTCCAACTAGGAAGAAGTGTATGTTTGGGGGAGGGGGGATGTGCAAAATGTTAACATTTTCCAGATCTTATCTCCAAATAGTCACAAGACATAAACCTAACACTATAGTAATCGCAGAAACTCAGGCCGACACTGAAGCTTACCTAGAGGATAAGTATTACTTTCTAGGCTATATTCTCAAATTAAAGACAGCGCTGAAAGTATTTTCTAGAGGAACAATGTAGACCGTCTGCCAGCAGAAGGGAGAAATGCCACGGTCTCTCTCACAGTAATTCTGAAAATAAGTTTTGCTCAACTTACTAAAGTACCATCAATTTATCCAGCTTATTTATCATAGACGTTAAAATATGGGTTTGTGCCGTTTATTTTTAAACGGATTACAAGTTACGTGACGGTATCATTTGGTTTCATCAGTAATAAAATTTCTAAAAACAACGTTGGCATTTCAGAGAAAAGAACGACGCTGTCGCACCGCTAATTTAAAATGTAGTAAGAAATATTACACCTGCTTCTGCATCAGGCGAAGCCTCACTTGTGGGAAAGGGAAAAGGAAACCTCGTCACAAAATTACCGAAAAGTAATTCTGTCACCTAAGCAATGGCATGCGTTTCTCAGGTGACCCGAGCCGAGTACTGTGTGCAGCGCTGCAGGTGCAGCCGTGCACAGCAGGGCGGTGACACGGCACAGGGCAGGGCACCGTGGAAGGGCTCCAGGAGCCGAACGGGACGCGGTGACACCTAATGCGAACCCCGCAGTTCAGACGCGTTTTGATTTTACAGAGGGCTGCATGGAAGTTCCTCCTGAAGAGCGTTCCCTGCACGGGCGAGAACCTTAACAACGTTCGGAACCAACACGAGCAACCTCGAGGGCCACTCGAAGAGGCAAGCCGACCTCACAGTCCCCCGCACTGGCCACTCCGCGACCGACGCGGACTGGCAGAGACGCCGCCGAGTCCCAGTAGTTCTGTGACAACAAAGGCCAAGTCTCCGAGGACCATGATAAGCGCCTGGCCGTGCAGCTCCGGTCGGGTCACCGCAGTGAGGAGCGCGGATGCCCGGGCTCGCCACGATGTGGAAGCTGCGGCCCGGCCCCGCATCCCTGCACGGCGCTCTTCTACCAGCCTTCGAGCCCGGGCTCCAAGCGAGGACACGCCCACGGTGACTCACGTTTCCCCGGCCTCTCGAGACCACACGCTCGGAGCAGCAGAGAGGAGGCCGGGACCCCATGCGGGCCGGTCTCCCTAGTCGCCGGGCCGGACGGATGCCCGTGGCACGGTGGAGTACAAGCTCCCAGGCGCCGCCAAGGCTCCACGGCCGGAAGTGGCCAGGCTGCGGAGACAGAGGAGCCGTGAAGGTGCTGACCGCGACTTCCGCCAATAGGAAGGGGGCCAGCGAGGGGCGAGCCCCGCCTACAGAGCCGCTGCCTATAGGGTCTCAGGGCCTGAGGGCGGAGGCCAGAGAAGCAACCAATCACAGCGCAGGGCTCGAGAGAACGGCCCGCCCCAGCAGGGCCAAGGGCCAATCCGAGGCCGGAGGCCGGGTGACTCGAAGACATTCAAATCCACTCGACCTCCCCCCTCCACCCACCCTCTCCTCGAAAATGAAAAAAAATAAGGCAGCGGAAACACAAACCCGTGCCAGTCACTGCCAACGCCCGCCCTCACCCGGCGCAGCAACCAATCGCTCCGCAGCAAACCGATAAGGACATTCCACGGGGCACGTCACGGCCAATTGCAGGGAGGCTGAGGCGGGACGTTCTGCAATATGCTAACGAGCTTCCTATAAAAGTCGCTGCGAAGCTGCGTCTCTGGTAGAGCGCGCAGGGGCGCTTTCCCGAGAGGGGTTCTCGGTGTTATTTTGGGGCGAGCGGCCGATTGCCACCTCCCCCCCACTCTTCCGTTTCCCTGCTGCGTAGCCCTGTAAACATGAGTAAACTCTGAGAGGCGATCCACGTTCAAAACAGAACCCCTAACGCCGTGCCTGCCCTCGCAGGAAAGTTTCCGCAACAGCCAGCAATTCCCGGCGGACACGAACCCTCCATTCGGACACGGGGCGGCGGGTCTGCAGAGCAGGACCCACAGGTCCTCTCACCTGCCGCCTGCCCGCGCCCCCCGAGCGCAGCGCTGATGGGCGCCCTGCCCGCCTCGCCTCCGCTGCCCACTTCCCTTCCCCACTGCACACAGGGCGAAGCCCTCGTCCTCCGAAAACTACCCCCGGCGGCGTC